CAATTGTCTCTGAAAAATATTGTACAATTTATTACTAAAAAGTCAGTCAAAAGCAGAATAGAATTTTTTTTTTTTTTTCTGCAAAAACTCCAGAGACTGGCTGGGCCTGAGAGGTCAAGGACTCTAGTTAGTATTACCTGGGCTGGAAGGAAGTGAGGGCTAAAAATAGCCAGGTGCTGTAAGGGTTAAGAATGGTGAGATGGGAATTGGTATCGAGGGCTCTACTCCTCTCCCTACATAGCCAATCAGAAACATTGGATTAAGTCTGAGGGCAAAAGAAATTTTTATTCCCATACTCCCAAATACAAACAGATAAAAAGTTTGAATAGTCTTACACTAAATTATGTACTGCGCACACACGAAAGTAGGAGGGTAAAAAGGCATTTTAAAAAACAACAACAAAACATAAATACAACTTTAAGACTTGTCTAACGTTAGATCAATATACAAACAAGCACTTACCATCCCCTCTCCTGTGCATTTTTTTGGTATTATAACGAGATTGTCCAAGACATTCACACATCTATAACTATAACAACCACTTTTCTTTTTGACAATTAGTAGGTGTCTTGGAGAACGTCCACTTTATCTCCATTTCAATTATATAAGGTGAGATAAGATAAGATAATACCTAATTATCCCAGAGGGAAATTTTTCTTGGCTATACAGGACCATAAAAACATATGCAGGTTTACATAAAAAAAATTAAATTACATATTACTCTCATTACAATTCAATATGAAAAGAGAAGTAAAGCTGACAAAATGTACATATAAAAGGGAACCAAATTACCTTGTTCTACTCCATTTTGTGAGTTGCCCCTGGGAGACAGCCACTTGATGAGACTTGTGTCCATGTGCAATAGCCCGGCCTTGTTGTCGGGGTCAGAGGATGGGACAAATTGGCCGATCTGACGAGTTTCGTTAGAGAACACTTGAAGGATTACCAAATCAGAATTCCTATCACTGCCGTGGAACTTGATCCAACCAGAAACACCGCTGAAGCTCAAACTGCTGATTTCCGCTCTAAAGATGCTGTAGAGAATGAAAGAATAAATGAAAGCTAATAGACAGTCCACTTTCTTTATGATGTCACACTGCATCCCAAATGTGATGGTTTCATAAAATAAAGCTTGTACGAAAACATGCACTTTTTTCATTTGGAATACAGGCATGGAAAGAAAGATGAAAACTACTGCAAGTGCACTGAACTCACATACACAATGATGTAAATAAGCAAGGCAGAGCATTACCTCTTTATCTCTGGCAAGCCACTCCCAGTACCTTGTGGTCGGAACCACTGTGCCGGTGAGCCGCTAGCATATTCCTTTACAACCACTTTGACGTCAAATTACTTTGTCAAAATCAGGTCTCTTTTGCCAGCAGCTCATTCATCAGAATAAGAACTATGAAAATAGGTTCACTAGTATTGATTTAATTACCAATTTAGTGACGTATTCGTCACTTTTAGACTTTGTACAAAAAGAGGGTCCCACAATAAAGGGTTTA